CGGGAAAAACTTCGAATTGATCGACGCTGTTAGCTTGGAGGACACGTGTGATGGCGCAAGGAGGAATGAACGATCGAAGCTATTAGTGTAAGAATTGAGCTGAAGATTTCAGCGATTTTAGAAATCTCTCTGTACTTTTAGTTAAATTACCACATCCAGAGACTTGATAGAAATATTTCCAGTTTGATCTCGTCTTAGAATCAAGTGTAGTGCGTGCAAATTAGCGATGGGCTGCTGGAAAATATTCCAACGAGGGTTGTGAAGGTTCAGCGCCTTAGTGGTAGATTTCAGCGTAACTAAGGAATCATATCCGTTTCAGCAAGTTTAAAGCAAAAAAAGAATCACAGTTAACTGGATGGTCAAAGTGCACATTTTTAACAGCTCGAAAGCGCTGCATTTTGGAGGTGTATTCGAACTACTCGTTCAATTATAAAATCATGATTTCTTCTGACTACGAATAGATATCTATACGATAGGCTTCCTGCTGCACAAACAACACCGATGAGGAGATTTTGCAATTTCTAGCCCATATAAACCTTAAATTTCATCTTTCCATCATAGACAGTTCAGATACGAAGCCAAGCACACTGTCTGGTTTACGGAGAGCTACAGCTCCACAAGTTATTCTGTAGAACTTTGCCACAAAGGATACATTTTTAGCAACCCATTGCTTGTTCCAATAGCCAACAAGTTAAGTTCAGGATCGTGAGCGATTGCCGAAGGTTTTGGTGGAAAGCCATGTTCCACAGCCTGCAAGAAATTTAGGGTATTTATACAAGCACATGTCCCTGTAGTCATCATATTCTATTCAAAGAGAAGGCAAGAAACCGCCAAAACCTACCTTGTTGAACAAAAACAGATCCTGACCAAGTTTGTCCTTCAAATGTCCGGAACTCCTGTCCCGTGTTCTCGAAAAAAACTTAAACATGATTGAAGTGGTCGCCTTCCAACAGAACCTAATGCGGCGACTTCACAGACGAATAATTTATTAGGAAGGTTGAGTAAGTGAGACTACAAGCGAGAGACTCGTTTGAAAATCAATCACGCCTTAGCGAAATTGAGTTCGAGTCATGTGACACCCTGTCAATCAAATCTGCTTTGACCAATAAGATTGCATGTCATGATTAAAAAGCGCGCCGAAAGAACAGTTCAGCTGCAGGCGATTGGCTTCGGAAGAACTCTTCAAACAAAACGTAGAGGTGCAAACTGCCCTGAATTTTCTCATCATGAATAAATTACGGCTGGGAACGTTAACATGCAGTGTCTTTTGTGGCAAATATTTGTTTAGGGGCGCGTGATCAGGATGTATTGTATACGAGTTAATTTTGACAGGCTCGAACATTTTTTTGCTTATGTGTGTTTGCGCGCTGCTTTCAATATTGTGGGCAAAAAAATGCTAAATTATGAACCGCATGTATTAATGTTCCCCACTGCGAAGATTTTATTCGCAGTAGTCTAGACTTTGCGTGAAAAATCATAAACTCTCGACAAACTAGTAGAAGAAAATTAAATTGTATCGTATTTGATTGCCTTTTCGAACAGATTACCCAATATTTTACACGTGTCGAGAGGGTTCCTTATAAATATGCATATTTTCTCGACAAAGATCAAATTAGCTTAAGGACGTTTCACCTCAGGTGAACTGGGATAGTTTTGTCGAATTGTTTTGTCTCAATACAGAACGTCCCTACAACCACCGTCGACACATTATTATGAATTTTCGGAAGATCTCTGTTTTGAAAACAACTCGGACTCAACAAACTTTTGAACGGGTGCCTTTCCTAGCTGATGAAGCATATGACTGTAAAAACCCTTTCATTTTTTTTTTCTTGGGAAACCTGAGAGATAACGAGCATGACCTAAACGTGATTAAAACGTGACCATTGGCACGAATTAGAACCTTCTTTATTTAGGAAAGTGAACAGGACAAAGGTCTGTTGGGTAGACATGTCTTGTCGGAATAGCAATGTATCTGATATTTTTAAGTAACGCAAGGTTTTAAACTTTGCAGAAATACTGTCTGGATTTTGTCTACGTGCTTGTGGCTACCCTAAACCTCCCTGTTGAAACATGTATTATTGATATCGAGTTCGTTCCGAAAACCAATACCATTTTGTGAAATTTTCATCCCTTACATCACACTTTGGTGAGATGCGGGCGTCAGGCATCCAGACTCTAAAAGTATCTTTGAATTTTGCGGCCGTTCGAATGCCAAATAAGTAATCGCCGAGTATTTTAACACTTCCCATACTTGTGAATCAATCACCTTAAATTGAGAAAAAAGTTTTAGATATTCCTTAAGTTGAACTGTAAATTTCACGACATTTGTTAATTTTCCGGTTCCTAGCATGTTGATCTCATGCTTCAGGACGTGTCATTTCGCCCCGATATCCTTGGGAGGCGAGCCGGAACGAAACTTCAACTGAGAGTAAAATTTGACCTCAAGGTCGGCGTATTATCCAAAAATCTACCTAGGAGTTTGTTCAGTCTCATTTAGGACTGATGCTGAAACTTTTATGTAAATATTTGCAATAACAACAGTGATTATATATCATTGAAGTAAGGTGTTAAGAGTTTCCGATGAGGGAATTCCGTTTGCGAACCAATGAGAATTTCTCGACTCTGAAAATTGTACAATCTGCCAAAAAGCAGTGATTTCGAATGATACCGCGAACCCGTCATTCGCATTTTTTGCGTTACGAAGATTTTAATCTATTTAAATAGAACTAAAACGCGCTTACTTTTGTGAAACTCTTACAAATATAAATAGCTATTACGAAACACTTGAATTCAAAACGAACAAATGAGTATGATGTAAATAAAAATGCCGTCATCATTCGAGCCATGACAAGAATTAAAAAATAGCAATGTAGCTTTTATTTAAATAATTACAAAAAAATAATGTTAATGGAATCAACTAAGAAATATAAAAGAAAAAGAAAGTTGTTTGAAGACGTATGCTACTCGCATGTAGTTCGAATTCTTTGCGGCAAGATTTGTGGCTTCTCTGATCTCGATGACTGTTTTCTTTTGTTTTCAAGTTAGACGAAGCTCGGGTTTAGAAAACAAATAAATAAATAAAGCCGACAAAACAGACACACGTGCCTCACCATTGTTTGGTTGCTTTGAGCGAAGTGAAACTGAATTTTACCTTTCGTCTTTCGAGGAAAAAAAATTAAACCTTTATCGAAAATGCCGTTTCCTCATCGCCGTCCAAATGAATTTAGTTGTCTGAGGTTGTCTTTTAATTACATATTTTTCGATCGTGAAACATTAACAATTTTCGAAACTGGTGAACCACGAAGAGAGATATTGCAGATGGGAAAACTTGCATGACTTCTCAGTATGAATTCTTCTTCAACTACAGTGTCGTAATGATTTTCACACAATTTTATTGGTTAGAGTCCAAGAAATTGATAGCTTCTACAACTGAAAAGGCGAACACCTGACACAAGCAAAAACAAGTAGGAACTTCGAGGAAGTTGACGCTTATTTTCTATTGTTTAACTTGGTACAGACAATATAGAGTATTGTTGTCAAAGCTTTTCCTGAATAATTGTCACGATAAACTACACTAGGAAAATCCTAACGAACTATATTGGAAACTATTTTTATCATTTTGTTCGCCAACGCAAAAGTTCATTCGCACGATATGTTCCGGAGTTTGCCAACGTTTGAGTGAGAGCTTTGGTTATTACTATTATTTTTTAGTCATTAATTGGAGTGGCCGGTATATTGAGACCTATTGGGTGTTGCGGTTTGGCGGTTTCTTTTGAATGCAAAACAAATAAATGAAAAAAAAAAAAAAAAAAAAAAAAAAAAAAAAAAAAAAAAAAACAGCATAAAATGGTAGTAATGATTAAACTAAACAAGATGACAAGTTTCAGGGTTGACGTGAAACCTGGCATGAAGCCTCACTGTCTCATGATCAGCTGAGCGCGACATCCGAATAAATATGGAGTTTGATTCTTCGTGGGCACTTTTCCTCCTTGTCTCGCACTCGAGAGAAAAAACGAATAACATCTTTAATTGGGAGAATAAACTGTTAGTTCGCAGGGTCTCGATTCAAGCCATACGCACAATGGTGACCACTATCAATCTTAGTGACATAAATTCCTTTTTAGCATGTCTCGACGGAGTTTATTGTTCTTCTCGCCGAATTTGTTGTGACTCAATAAATCAGTTAGGGAAGTTGTAAGTCTCCAGGGGGGGTATCTCAAGTGGAAGAGACCACAAAAAGTTTGAAATGAGACCATTTCCGAGATGCTCACTTAAGCTTCTTTTTCAATATGAGGGTTGGAGCAATCTTTTGATAATGCAAATGACTTTTTGTTATGATGCAAAAACCTAATGCTTTTAACAAAAAGGTTTTGCCAACATGGCACATTTTGAAAGCGAGGCTATCAAGAATTTTGATGGAGCCTGTCCTCGTAAAATTGCGCGAAGAAGAGGAATGAATGCCTGGCATAATTTCGATTGAGTATCCTAAAACCAAAACCAAAATGTTCATAACACTTATGCGAAGAAAGGGACCTATCACCAGGAGCCAATGAGAACTCAAAGAGAACCAAGCAAACTGTCTGAAGCGCGGGAAAGCACACGTGATCAAGTCTGAAGTCGTGATTGGTTTTAGTTTTGAATGTGATTGGTTGACAGGGTTGAGGGGTTTCACGAGTTTTCTCGACCAATCAAATAGCCGCAAGTCACACACAATCACGTTCAGTAAAGAACAACCTGGTTTCCAGGGAGGGAAAGAGCGCCCCGCTCCAGAGGAGGTTTCGTCGGAAGGCCCCTACCTGAGATAGTTTCTTGTATTGTGTGCGAGTTCAAACCGCGCTACAACGGATCCTAATTATTGAGATCCGGTTAGAGATTATTTTTCATATTCTCTTGAATCCGGCTATAACCCATCTTTTCACTCCTAAGATTTCACTTGTAATTGTTTTCAAGGAAGAGGACCCCGTTCCTCCATCCCCTACACCGTAATCCCACAGTTTATATGTATTAAATATGAAGTATACATGGCCATTTTAAAATTGTAACAGTATTCTTGACTGAAAAAAATTCGATGGGCTGGGCCCTTCAGAGATGCACTCAAAAGAGGAAACTGAATTCCCATGTTATCGTTTCTGTTCATTCCGCCAGAGCTTCGATTCCAAAGTTATTGTTCTCCTCGATGTACTCCTCAAGTACTTTAATTATATTGAGAGTATCATCGGAACAAAGAGCGTGCGCTTCGAGTGTGGCATTTCGGAGCAAAATGGGGCCATTTCCACATTTCAGGAGAAAGACATACGACCTGAAAATTGAAAGATATCAATTGGAAACTATTGGTAACAGAAAACAACTAACGCAGAGGGGGAGAACCGTCTGCGTAAATTGTAGCAGCTAAAACAAATAAAAAAATAATAATAATAATAAAAAAAATAATAAACAGTTTTTAACGTGGAGAAACACTTAGCTAGAACCTAGTTTACAGGTTTTCCACCAAACAACTGAAACGAATAATTCAAATTGAAAATAACATTATTAAGAATCCCAACTGGCCGAAGGCAAACCAGTTGGCTATATTACAAGCATGGCCGAGGATTTGAAACTCGGGGCTACCGTGAAACAAATCCAGGGAGTGGCCAGGGCGGGACTTGAACCCGGGAGCGGTGGATCGCAAGTCCGACACGCTGACCACTCGACCACGCTGCCTTCTTCTGATGACTACGATGACTACCAACTGAATATGGAATAGATATAATGGGTGCGTGTGCCAATGAAATATCGAAATCAGCCGGTTATTACTTTCATTCAATACGTTAGGGTAAGGAGACGAAAAGAGTTTGGAAGCCTAAGTCTAAATAGAATTAATCGAAGACATCGCCAGTTTGACTATATCTCTTAACAGTTCTGAGTGTAACGTGCGAATAGTTTAAGTTATTCAAATCGTGCAACTGTTCAAATTCAGGGTCATTCTAAATGTAATTAACTACGTCCTGCCAATAGTTCGCAGTATCGTGATATTTCATAGCAAGCCTGTACTGTGTTAACTATGTCGTTATTTAAAATTGGCATGATCCAAAATACGGTCTTGGCAAATAGTCGGCCACGTGACAAGTTTCAATTAAAATCCGCTCGATTGATTGTCGAAGCGAGCAGTTCCATTTTTTTTACGTCATCAAACTTCTCATTTCTTGTTTGAAGGTTTTAACTCTTTAAAAAAATACTACTGAAAAGAAACACAATGTCTCCTCAAACGTGACGACTGAAGGTGAAAATAGAGAGGTCATGACTCAACCACTTTATCTAACCACAGCCCGCCATCAGTCGCCTCAAGCTCTCCTAATTTTGTTAGGTTTAATACAATATCATTGGACCGCTCAAAAGGGCACTTAGCTGAAAGACGTAAACTGTTCACTAATACTTCTCGGAAGCTTTCAACAACAAGATGTAGCTTGAAGCATTCAGCATAATTAAATCTATGGTTCTTCGGTCCAATCTATCATCAGCCAATGTGAGGATTATTTCCACACCTCATGAGATTAAAACGTTAACTAATTCTCGTTGAGAAGTAGACGCCTCAGCCAATAATCCAGTCATATGAAAAATTTGAATTGATGCCAGAAAGCGCCGGGAACGGCAGCGCCCCTTTACCCACTTAGTCAGGGGTTGATCGGTCAAGTATTTTCGGTGGATTGAATTCGGAAATATTAGTCTGGGTCAAACAATGTGGAAGTGAAGCCAAGCGACAAAAAAAATTTCCGTAAGCAAGTTAGGTAATGGGATTTTAGAAGGAACTCCAGGGGAGTATCTCTTCCTGTAACGAAACCTTTGTGGAGTAAGTTTAGCATCAAGGACACTTGATCACACAGCAAGTCAGGACCCTTTTTTTATTACCCTTTCAATACCAGGATCTTATTAGTAACTCTCTTTACTGTCTGTCATACAATTCTTACAAAGTTAGTTTGCATTGGAGATCTAGAATTTGGCATTTGATTAACGAATGATCACCTAATTAATATGTTTCTTTATTCTCATCGCCTGTTATGTCTGCTTGATATTGTACTGTTATTATAAGGAGAAATTCTACCTTGATCACTCATAACAGTGAAAGGGTTAAGTACACTCTGGGGGAGGGGGTGGGGGTAGTGAAGTTGAATCTTTTTATTTTATCAAATCTGTTTTGCAGTCAAACCCCTTCCGTAGATTAACACCATCCATGTGCTGACACGACGAATTCAAAGGCCAAGTTAAATAAACTGACCACGTTTTCTCAGAAAGAAAAGAAAAAAAAAAATAAACTCAGTTGCTTCCAAAGTAAATATAAAGGCGTACGATGAGTTTAGCAAAACACTTTGGTTTAACTGAAATGAGGGTGTATTATTGACAAGTTCCAAGTCCAAAGACTGTTTCAACTGGTTTCGATACTTTCCCTGGAGACTAATTTTCATTATTCGCGTAGTCCTCGCGTGTACTCACGCCAGGAGGATGGACGGATAGTGACTTGGAAAATTGGCCTTTGTCGATTCCCTGATAGCACTGAAGGGCGGGATAAACGCGAAACTAGCGAGTTTCCCACAGAGCTTTCGCCAAGTGATAACGGAAGTACTCCTACAGCAAGCACTGAGAAAGCTCTGAAGGGAAAGATAATCCGGCTTAAGCGAACCAAACCCTATGAACAGATTTTCAGAGAGGCGGGCGGAAGTTGATCCGAACCGTTCCTGTTGATGACTCAGTCTAGCACATTCTGCATTCCGCATCCATATATGGTCAAACTGGTGTTCAGAATTTTAGTACGGAATTGATGTCGTGGGCAGCGTCGATCGATTTCTATCTTCTCTTATTTCGTGACTGAAATTATTAATTTCGAAAAGGGATGATATGAAAAGCTAAGTGTGAAGACAGAAAAGTTATTGAAGGCGATTGTCCTTACTCAAGAAGGTCACAAACAGACATTTTTCATTATTTAATACGGGTCCCGAAACAAAATCTCTTGTTGCCAATGTTTTTTTTTTTCCACAAGATATAAATACTTAAAGGAAATAAGACAAGATTCAACGAGTGAATTTTCATATGGCTCCTTTGAAAGGCAGGTAATGATAGAAGAAGTCTAAAGATGTTTCTTAAAAAAGTAGAACCAATTGAGTGTAATAATTCTTAATCGAAAAATCAATCAAGTTAACAAGTAGATGAAGTGTTATCTTCCCAGCGGATAGAGAAAATAAAGAAAAGATTTCGTCTCTGTTTGCATCGTGCGCTGAAATTATAGAGGAAAAAAACAGCCGCTTGAAAAGTTGAGCGTCTGTGCATCTCTGTTCGAGTTTTCTCTCGAGTTTTTCACTTGATAGTATAACTTATAAACAGCTTCACAGACAGATATTTGGTTTGTAGTATCCGGTGTTCCTTGGGCAATAAGACAATGGCAAAGTTCAAATGCTGTCAGGGTGCGAACATTTAGAAAAAAAAATCTTGATTTTGAATCTAATCGTTTGTTTCTATCTCTGAATCTCGTTGATCATCGGGAGATTCTGTGTTTTAGCTGGACGTTGTCCAACAGAAACAAGCGCTTTGTCTGGCGGCTTGCAATTATGAATTCGAGCTGAACTTTGGGATAAAACGCTACAAACCTGCGTTAATAACCTCAATAATCATCAAAATACGCAAAACATGCTGGTTTTGGTACAAACCGTGTTCCTGAAGAACCTATACGTCTCTTTCCAGGAAAGGATTTAAGTAAGTTTTCAAAGATTAAATGCTGAATCGTGCGATTTTTCCGACATCGACATTCGCACCGTACTTGGCGATCGGCCTTTGACCAGTGAAAAAAGGAGATGAGCGATTGATCAGTTTTTCCACCATTACGGAAATCGCAAAAAATGATTGCGCTAAACTGTCTGTGCTTTTTAGCGCGGCGATTAGGGCTGAAAAACTGAAAAAACCTGATAACATCAAGCACGTACACAAAATCAAAACACGATAATAAGAAAACTTAACAAAAGAGGTGTGCTTATAACATTCGGCTAATCTCTGATCAAGAAGGGAATTTGTTAGTTCAAGGGATTACCTTATGGTCCAGAGATCGATACTATATTACAAGATAGCCATAGCCATTTTTTTTCGCAGAATCATAGCATACATTTGGCGAAGACAAAACTCTTCTGTTTTTTTTTTTTTATTCACGACTTAATCACCTATATTTCAGTTCTAAACTACTTTGCAATTTTTTCACAAGTTTGTTTTTAAAGATTGAAACTATGCATTAGCCCACAGACAGTCTGCAGACAAACAGTCACTGTTTACGTATTCCAGACTAGCGGAGGCAAAAGTGAGGCGGATATAGCAGAGCAAATCACAGAGAAAAAGACGAAAACAATTGATATATGCTTTTAGCCTGCACGCAATGTCGCTTTAGGATGCACAGGGAAAGTTTGGGAGAACATTCAAGAAGCTAGAATCGCTTCCGGCTAAGCCTCGAGCAAGTCTCTTTCTTGGTTGGTGTTCGTCCATGTTAAATATGACTCGATTATGCACGGAATAGAAAGAAATAATTGTTGAATCGCAGAATGAAGCTATACCGACTATTCAAAGCTACCCCTGTCTTTCATTTGCTATGAAACGTTTCTTCATTACAAGATTGAAAACCGAGGCCGACCGGTGCTTGGAAAAAGCTGCGTTCATCTTAACAACCCACACTCACATCTTAGATATTGGCTGGCCAGTTTCCTTTTGTTTAAAACCATTTTCTTTGTTTGGAAATTTTTTTTTTTTAACATGTCGTGACCCAGCTCGTGACACCTGACAAGGAAGCCATCCATTTTTAGCGTGCGCATTATGGCTTTCCCAACTGAAAAAAAAGTGTACAATTTTACGGAACATGTAAAGGACAATGAAATTTACCGCTGAAGTCTCTTAGTTTTAATCGTCAAATTGACCCAACAGAAAAAAAAGTCACATATGTGTTATTCACACCACTGATATGCAAATATTTTCAAATGAAAACTGAACAGACAGCTGAAATGCACTGAACAAATATCTTCGATGTGTCTAGAAATATGTTTTACACGCATAACTAAAGCCTAAGGCGAAATAAAAAACCAAAATTAGTAAACACCTTTTCGATTTCGTGACTAGACGAAGCAATACGAGGGGGTGGATTTTTTTTGTACCCATAAGAGCGGGGCGTTGCCGAACTGACCTTTTATCTTAGTAATGCAAATACAACCTAAACGACCACAATTATCCGCTAACAAAAGATTCACGGTTCAGTTCTGCGGTGTTGGCTGTGGCCCATATCATAAGTTTGGGTTAATATTTTGCCCTGAAGCACTCTACAGAGTCGAATTCCGGAAAGGAATGTTCAGACAACACAACTGGGTGTTATGCACAATTTTCTGTTGTCTCATTTTCGACGCGTCGAGAAAAAAACAGCGTAAATAGCTGAACAAACAGCAATTGCAGCGAGATAAAAAGAATTGGACGGTTAAAATTAGCTGGATAACTTGCGCAAACATGTTATCACGAACCACAGCGACAGTTTCAAACCTTTGGTCAAGTGACTGATTTTAAAACAATATAATTTTGGTTTTATTAACTGAGCACGTAAATTGGCCGTTGAAAAGAGTTTCAAAGCTGACATTTCGCTCCGACGAAGGGCTGACACTCGAAACGTCACCTTTGAAACTCTTTATGGTGACCAATTTCCATTATCAACTCATTTGATAAAACCAAAATTACCTTGTTACTCCCACCAACTCAGCACCACATTTTCTATAGAAACTTTATTAATTTTAAAACACCTGACTATTGAACTTTTTAGTGGTACTTCTCGTTTTCAACATTGTCCAAATTTGCGGCTAATTTTGAAGCTCTTGGTAGCTCGTTTGAGATAGAAGTCGCAAAACAACTGAATAACATGTAACTTAGTAACGTGTGAATGGTTTTGTACAGCTGCATAATGGATTCACTAACGTCCAGTCTCTGATGTTGATTTTAGACGAAAGTGAAAGGCTCTCTGCCTTTCTTTAACAGTTTTCCGTATTTGACTTTGAATAAGTGGAACAAAAGCTGGTTTAAACAAACAAAATTAAGGCAACATACAATTCAACAAGTTCTAATAAGTTTTAGGGAATATAATAAGCATCGTGAAAAAAAAATATAGTACGAATTTTTTTTTCCAGAGTGTCCTAGACGAAACCAAAAGTTCCTTATTTTGCAATGATTCGTTGTAGTTGCAATTGACATTGCAGATAAAATAAGTGAGATACTAGTTATCTTTGAAAATATTACTTTGTATGTTTTGCAGTAAACAATTCCGTGTGCATCCACCTCGCCTTTTCAATCTAAACCATTTACAAAGTGAATACATGACATTTAAAAATTCAGTTAATGCAGCGTTTGCGTAATATCATGATTTTCCAGGGAAATTGAAATCATGATGATGGAAAAAGAGGGAAGACTATGAAATACATTAACAAGTAACGAGCGATTTGCCTCGCAAGGAGAGCTTTTTATCCGTAACATTTGTTGGCTGAAAACACGAGCGGTTTAGGCTTTGTGAGATCCACTTGAATTTTAAAACGAGTTTACGAAATGAAAGTATTGGAATAAACGAAACAGTCACTGAAATTCTGCCTTCTATAAACTTCAAAGCGAAAACGTCTTTTGAATATATCAACAAAGTTGAAATGGTAAATTGGCCACCGTAACGATTACAAAAGCAGACGTTTCGAGCGTTAGCCCTTCGTCGGAGCGAATAGAGGAATTGTGGGTTGTGTGTGCTTTTAAAGGCAGAAAATGAAGCTACGTGATTGTTGGGAACATGGCAAACGTCTTTTGTTTGCTTCAAGGGCCATTTCGTAGCTATTTAGGCGAGTTTAAGGTTTTAAGTGGGTAATTCTTTCCCATAATTGTACTACCACAGTGCAACTCAAGTCTGAAACTCGCAGCGAAAAGAGAGTGGAATACTCAACACGCTCAAGTCAGCAGGAGTGTAAGCACGTTATTCTCCCACCCCCTCCCCCTGCGTCATATTCCATGCCTCAAAAGGAATACTGTGCTTTGATTACATCTCAGTTGAATACTAACCTGTACAAAGCATAATGATCAGTCTCTGCCTGTCTCAGGAGTCTCTTTAATGTATTCAAATCATGGTTTACCTGTGGAGAATGAAAACGATTTATCAAACACTGTTGGATTTTATTCCGCCCAGTCAGCGAGAGCCTCGCACAGACACAAAGAATAGAACACGGTAACAACTCGAAAGCAGGGTTGAAAGTAATATTAGAGGACACAACGCGGGGTGTCAGAATGCGAACAAAAAAATAAAAGTGCAATTAAGGTTGTGCTTACTGGCGGCCAGACAAGAGGCGTTATTAGTTTTGGGAGCAATAATCTGACAGATAATTCTAAAGAGTTTCTTGTTATTAGTCTACGAGCGACTCATTACGATACACGTACACAAAAAATGTTTTGTGTCAAATTTTCAGTTGGTTTTTAGTTAAAGATTGACGTGGGGCTTTTCAGGCCGATATTACCGCCTTAATGAATTTAAGACCTAGTTGTCAGCTATTTAAGTTCTTGATTATCATATAAAATTAAAAGATTAAGGGATTAACTCAGTTTTACAAAACTGTCTGAGGCAGGAAGTTTGGTCAACAAACGAAAATTAACGTTCGCAGAAAATTGAAAAGCCAGCAAGCTATTGCACCACAGGGAGCCAAGACAAGCGACGAGTCTGGGCCCCTGTGATTGCACTAGCGACAAACATTCACATCAAGTACAAAATTCGCTTTATGGGGGTTTTACACCTAAACAAATCAGGTGAAATTTCGTCTATGTTCTCGAAGAAAACACTCCAACTTAAACTGCGCAGCGATTACAATAAAACGTTTTGTATAATTTTGTAATCAAATACGGAAACCGGCGATAGACAAAGAAATAGGGAAAGAAAGAACATGTATGTAATTACTTGTTCGGTAAAGCCACAAAATACCAGACAATGTCAGTTTGGTATCGTGGCAACGTCTAAGGACTAAAGAAAAGGACGGCAAGTGACACGTTACAGCATTTGACAACTTCCTCTGTATTTTCATTACAAAGATGAACATTATAAAAGCGCCTGTTTCAGGCGGAGCGAAATGATAAACGTGGCGATAGTAGCGAAAGCGACGGAGGACTGGGTCAAGCAAGTCTAACCAGTTAATCAGAAGAGGCGAATATCAAAATGAGCCATTACGTTGTCAAGGCTGAAAATGAAAACGACCCAAGTTACCCAGTTGCGATTGTTAGGGATATTGCATCTGATTGGTTAGGGGAGAAGTGGCTTTTTTTTCCGAGTAGCAAAATGGAGCAGGTCTTGGACCAGAAATAATTACCCTTAGCTTGTAGTTCTCAATCACTTGTCGAAGGAAGACAGGATTGTCCACTGCTTCACTCAACAAGGTTTTTGCCCATTCTCTACAAAACTGCGTACTTACTAAAAAAAAAAAAAAAAATCAGAAAGCAACTCCAGATTTAGATTTAATCACCATGTGATAGTTTTCTCTCAGACACTGATCACATTTACATTTATATGTATTTAATTTTATAAATTAACTGAAACACTATGAAATTCCTGAGATTGGTTGTTTCACCAGAGTGTGGTGAGGGTCGCACAACAGAGCGAGGCTCCAAATTAAGTGCGCCCAATATCCCACCCATCCCACCCCAGGGGAGGACATCCATCACACAGTAATCTCGTGTGTGGGAAATTAACGTCTCCTACCCCAACCCTGCAGGAGACGGGACCTCCATTTATTCATCCCTATCCGAGAAGGCTAGAATATCTAGAATATCTAACCATTTCTTGGTGGACCGCGAAATAGAAACTGAAGCTTATTTTCTTAAAGCAATAGACCACATTTCATACGGTCTACTGACGTAATAACCCATGCTGAATGTTGGGAGAACACTCGAAACCTTTGTACACCACTCACTTCCGGCTCGTGTTTTACAAACTTTCCGATGTTCTCTAAACGTCGCGCGTGGTTTGTCATCCGGTATACCGCAAGAAAGTTTGGTCTAAATCTGAGGTTGCTTCAAATGATTTTATTTCTTATTATACAAGTGATGGCACAAACTTGGAAGAGTCGTCAAGAGCATCAAACAACACAACAGCAGATCACAGCACACTCCTCCGAGTTCCTTAACATCTTCCTTATTCTGTTTATAGCCATAAAACCTTTTTTAGCATCTAAAGTCATGTGTTGTTTGCCTAAGACATATCCAAAATACCTTTGCTGCTGAGAGCATACCCCTCCTCATTTGTCTTCATGGTGACATTGCTGGGTATGCCTGTACAACACTTGGAGAGTTTCTTGTTTTCCATATCCTTTCAAAAGTGATGAAAAACTATTAAATTCAACTGGTATTACAGATAGACAAAGCATCACAAGTATGTACAGTTGAGCAATCTATTCCCTAAAAAATGAAAACCTCCCACTCAGCCCTTTGGCTAGGTCCTTGTGGAGTGTACTTGCTTCAATGTTGCACTGTGACAATGATTACCAACACTTACAGAGGTTTCAATAAACGCCAGTTACTGGCAGTCCAGTGCAACTTATAAATATATCTTATTAGATGTTTTTGTGTGTAGTATCACTGAGAATTTTTATGAGTTGTGTCCTCTTCTAACAAGCCCATAGGGCAAGTCAAACTACAAATAATGAGTAAAAATACTAGGAAATACTACACACCAAAATGCCTAATAAATTATTTAAATTCATCCAGATGCATTTTTCTGCTAAGTGCTTCTGCTCATTTCTAACAAAACCGGAAAGCAAAGCGGATAGAGAAGTGTAGGCATGCAGCTGACTGGTTAAACAGGTTTTTACAGACAGAGTACAAAATAACCAAATGTACAATATCGCAGGATATTTGTACTCTATTCACATGTTACTCATACTCTACATTTAATTATGCAGTTGGGTAATGAGACCTTTTATTGCTGAAAGTTTGGCCTGCAAGTAGGCTCTAATGCTTGGGTTTTGCCTTACAGCCCCTTTTGCCAGTTAATTCCTATGAGGATAAAAGATAATGCTTGGGTTTTGCCTTACAGCCCCTTTTGCCAGTTAATTCCTATGAGGATAAAAGATAATGCTTGGGTTTTGCCTTACAGCCCCTTTTGCCAGTCCTTATGAGGATAAAAGGATATGTTTTAAGTCTGCACTAAAGCCAACTTGCCCACAAGGCACTAGGGCCTAGTTGCTTGAAGGCAAATTACTACTAACCCAAGGTTAAATTTTAATCCATGTTTCTTTATTCCTTTGTCAAAAAAACCTTTTCAAGAAAATCTTCTCTCTTCTTTTAAAAGCATCCTATAATACTCAAATTCTAGACAAAATGAAATAATATACTGAGTTTCCTTTTAAAGTTTGCAGATCTGAAATCAGATTTCACACAAACCCTGGGTTATCTTGACCCAGCTTTGGACAACCTAGCCCAAATGTTATCCTTGTATTTCTAGCCTGAAGTGACATAACCAGGAGTATTTCTACAAGCCCTTGATGCACCTTGTTTCCAGGGCCTCTTATCTTCCTGCCCTCTCTCACTACAGGGGGTGGGAAGATGAAAGACCCTGGGAACAAGGCTGGGCCTGGATGGGGTGCTTATCTTTAAAGGTTTCTCCTCATCATATTGTCAGGATTCTTAGACAGTTTGCCAGAAAGAAAAATAGACTTTCTGCCTCTAGATTCACACCTAAAATTAGTCAACACTGATTGACTAAGCTATTACAGTGACTTAACAGTTTTCCACATTGAAAAAACACTTTTTAAAACACCCCCTACCTTAGGGATGTCAACTGATGTTCCCAGCACATTCACCATGCTGCAGGCCTCAACAAACCTGGAAGATTACGAGAAATTTCAGCTGGAAGAAACAAAGTATCCATTCATAAGTACAAAAAAGAAAGGTAAGGATGTAGCTCACATCTTCAAGTCCTTTTTAAGCTTTTCATCGTCACTTTGTATGTCTAAGTTTCCTCCTAACAGACCCTGTAAAATAAAAAGAAGCAAATTAAACCAAAAACTAGCTTTTGCCTGCATGGAAAATCTGCTGATATATGTTGCTGCAAAGTTTGTGGACTGGACTTCATATATACTACTTCATTGAAGGGTTACCCCCAACCCCCTCCCTAAGTATTCAGTTAGGCTTCTGACAATTTTTGACAACTACCAATTAATAGGGACCTTAAGAAACCATGACTGCGACGCCAAGGAAGACTTTGATTAAAAAACGAATTTCTACTCTTAGTTAGAATTTCAAAAATGGCTGCAGGAGCCTACTGTCTCATACAGCACCACAGCTCAACTTCAGCATGACGTATAAAGTAGCCATTGAGTTCCAAATGGAAATTAAAATAATTTGCCATCGCGGTTTCGGTTCGCAGACGACGTAAATTTTGGCGATTTCACGTTGTTGTTTTGCATAGGACGGCTAAGAAATGTACACAGTTTCAAAATGCATGTGCTGAGCTATTGTTCTGCCAATTAGACCTCTTGTTTTTCCTCATCCTTGTTGCCGTCGCCGCCATGGTTTCTTAAGGTCCCTAATATTGCTTGTCAGAAGGAGATGTATGATAAGAGTAAAGTGTCCTGCAGGGTATAGAACTATTTATGTGCCAACCTATACCTCAACTGTCAGCCTCAACTTCAAAAAAAATTTGTTATTCCAGTATCATTAGCCCAGAGGGGAAAAAAGTTATAGCCTGTTTATATAAGTTAGGTATGGCTTGTCGCACTCACCAGTCCTATAAGAACAGCCAGGTCTTCCTTTAATAGATTTGTGCATCGACACACAAACTCAACCTGTGAAAAACAAGTTACAGGTGATAGTCTTGATCCAACAGCAAGTATTTACTGGAGACACAGTTTACCCTCTCCGAAAAGTGAGGAAAAATATTTTAAATGAATACAGTGGAATCATGACATAGAGCAGTAGAGTGATTTGGTTCAAAAACACCTGAAGGAAGGTGAAAACTAACAATTAAGAAAGGATGGCTGCATTCTGTGAATATGTGCTGAAGTTGACCTTTAAAGCGCTTTAATTTAAACAGTGGCCAACATATCTGAACTTACAACGAGTCCCTATAGGTAGAGAGCTGCACTTATCAGACTGTATTAGACTACAGGTTCCTTTAGAAAAGGGGACCTTTTAAGACACCTCGGCCATTTTATTTAATAATCTACCAATTGAAAGGAACTGAAAACCTGTGATGATCGACTTGCATATTTTACATCGCGTTTATTTAAATACTTAAAAAACCGGGCGAAGGCACGCCTTTAGTAATTTTAAATCAGTTTAAGTTTTAAGTGTATACATACTGGAATGTTTTGCTATTTTAAAATTATGATTGTAAATATTAAATAGGTTTTAATTGATCCTATAATGTATTTAGTTAGTTAGTGACAGATGAAGAACCACTCTGTGGAAAGACTGTTAATAAACCCTTTACTTACTTACTTTACATAATTATGTCATTAGACAAGCAGAGAAAAAGCCAAGAAGAAATAAGATGATGGTTTCTGGTGATGGTGGACAATGGCGCAGAAAGTCACAATCATATAAGATGAATGGTGATGAGAGAGATAAATAGGAGATAAATGAACAGTGATCATCTCTGTCAGTATCATTTTTAATGACAAACGATTGCATAGTATGACTGACCGAATTACTTGATTTGGTGGCAAAAGAGGAAAATTATTCAGGTTGAGTGTGAGTTAAATTTGACATTCTATATTTAGTGGTTCTTTGCTAAAGCAGAAATTAAGATTGAAGTACAGTACACATTACTGTGAATTTTGATTTCAGACTTACATTTTCTTCATACCAAAATTCTAGATGTTTGAAGCTCTCTTGAACATCAAGTGATTCCTTAAAAGACAGCATCTCAAAATTACTATAATTATAACTGTGTGTGATATTCTGTTAATGCTGGGTAGGAACACCAAATATTTATTAAAGATATTAAGCTTACAGTATATTTGTCAATGTATGGTGAAAGCTCTTTGCTGTACTCATCAAGTTCTTTTTGAAATCTGAGAAAAATGTTAAGGTTTTATTGAAGTAAATGAGAATACTGCTTTCATCATTGGAATCAGTAAGAGTCAAAGTTCTCTTCAATCAATTTGTTTTGAAAAGTTGAATCTCTCGTGGCTTCTCTCCAACTTTATCATATCCACAATATTTTTTAATTGATAATTGGTAAAGAAATGAATGGCAGACAGTAAGGTGATTTGACTTTAAGATCTTGGGAGTGAAAATATTTTCAAATTATAGCAATATTAATATAATGTTGGAGGATGACTTCATATTATGGGAAAGAAAGGAGATCACATTTGGAAAGAAGCTGTGAGACGAGAAAACACCCTGAATTATCTTCACCAAAGAAGAAGCACTAAAATCTGATCCTGTACTATTTCAAGGATACAATTCTAATCCACTTTTGCTCCCAGAAACAAGACAGATGACATAATCCCTAGATAGAAAACTCCCAAATCCACGGGAATCCCTGCAATTCAGGAGTAAACATGCTTAAACCTGTAGGTAACTAAGAAAAGATAATATGAAACAGGGATAACTCTTTTTTTCAAATCATTTTTGGAGAGAGGGGAAGGAGACTTCATTCTAATTCAGTGTTCTAAAGAGGGCTCTGGAGTCTTCAATGGAAATGGTGGATGGCCATAAGAGAGAGTTGTATACTAAAAATAAATATGCACTCTAGCCAAGAGCCAGAGCTTATCTCAGTTTATGCAGCATCAAGCCACTCTGAGAACTACTATTCCCTTCTGGATGAGGGAACAATTTCTTCAGGTCTACCTGATTGCTCACTGATACTACCCATTTATAGGGTGTTACGAAAACGAAGACCCTCGAAAACGAAGACCTAAGACCTAAGACCTGGTCTTTGTTTTTGTAGTACGAAAACGAAGACCTTGTAAACAGAAAACCGTAGAAATTACAACTTAAACACACATTAAACAGCAACAACGCTTAGTAATATAATAAATTACACTTCACACGTTTCTTCTCATTATTATACTGCACGTATTATTATACTGCCCGTATTATTTTACTGCCCGTATTATCATACTGCCCGTATTATTATACTGCCCGTATTATTATACTGCCCGTATTATTATACTGCCCATATTATTATACAGCCCATCTTGTCTGTTCTATTTTGCTATGCAAGCCAATTTGGTGTTGATATTCTCGAGGGTTTCCTCGGGTAAACTTACAACACATATTATTCTGGAACAGCAGGCAGAATTCGAACGCTAGCCGCCTTTGATTTATAGTCAGCATTGCATGACAGAATAACAGAGAATGCGTTCTGTACAGGAAAAATGACTCTTGGGTTCTGTCAATAAATAATCAATTGCTACTGTATTTTGTAGCTAAAATAGATTCTGATGTTTGTTCAGCTTTCTCTGCTTCTCGTTAAAAAGTAAGCAATTCTTTTGGCTAATGCAGGGTCTTCATTTTCGTAGTACGAAAACGAAGACCCTTTTTTGAAAGCAGAAAATCTTTTGAAAATACGATTGTAGACATACCCTGAGCACTAGTAATTGTCATTTCAGCTTTTCATATGCTAAGACAGTTCGCACATGGTTTTTCTTGTTCTTTCTTCAGCCACCACTGCCTTTGGCTCTTCAATTTGTTTTTCTATGCAATGAGTCCAAATTTGGAACAGACATCCCCATCGAAGGAGGGATCGGAATATTTTAGGGCCTTACTAAGGTTAAGCAGGCTTTATTTGGGCTTTTAAGAAAGGGTCTTTGTTTTTGTACTACGAAAACGAAGACCCTGCATTAGCCAAAAGAATTGCTTACTTTTTAACAAGAATTTTCCAGTAGAGAAAGCTTAACAACTGTCAGAATCTATTTTAGCTACGAAATACAGTAGAAATCGATTATTTGTTGACAGAACCCAAGAGTCATTTTTCCTCTACAGAATGCGTTCTCTGTTATTCTGTCATGCAATGCTAACTACAAATCAAAGGCAGCTGGTGTTGGAATTCTGCCTGCTGTTCCAGAATAATAATATTTGTGGTAAGTTTACCCAAGGAAACCCTCGATAATATCAACACCAAATTGGCTCGCATAGCGAAACAGAACAATGACAAGACGGACCATATAATAATACGGGCAGTATAATAATGGGAAGAAACCGGTGAAGTGTAACGTATTATATTACTAAGCGTTGTTACTGTTTAATGTGCATTTAACTTGTAATTTCTACGGTTTTCTGTTTATAGGGTCTTCGGTCTTAGGTCTTCGTTTTCGAGGGTCTTCATTTTCATAACATCCCCATTTATAATCCTGGGAGGAGAACAGCACTGTGAATGAAAGAGCTCAACACAATGACCTGGCCAAGCTTAAAATACAAATCTTAAAAGATAAATGTCATACATGTCTTGTTGTTCAATGTTGTCACCACTTTCCTTTCCTCCTCTCAGCAAACAGTAGTAGCAAAGTGCTGAGTCATCAGGAAAAACATTTTCTAGTACATTGATATTTCCATTGCCACTGTAGACTGTTCCTTTGGCAAGTCGTTTGGCCATGAAAGTTCTAAGTTCTGTTTCCTGCTCTCCTGATAGATTTGTGCTCAAAAGAGATAGACTGCCAAGAAACAGATCATTATATAGGAGACAAAGTATATCTTCGGATAAATGCTACCATTTGCATTGGTTCTTTCTTGGTTGGGTTTATGTGATACGTCAGACCATTTCCACGGAGACAATATCATTACGAGCTATTTTTGGAGGCTGTAAATTCTAGCAAATATTATTTAGCTATTGACTGAGTGGAAGACAAGAAAATATTTGGCTCGAGGTCATGACGTATGGACCGAGCGCTGCGAGATCTTTATTACAAACAAGAGTTCCTTTAATACCTAAAACAAGTACTTGTGGCCGATCGGGCTACAGTTCGGGTTTGTCTCAAGGGAAAATACCTCAAGATAAAAAGAGATAAGTATAAAAATACTCACCTAAAATCATAATTAGTTGTCGCTTCCTTGCGAAGAAAATCTGATACAGATCCCTCAGCTACACCTTTGCTTGACACAGCTCCATCTTCACCGTCTTCGCCGTTTTTATTTTCCTCTACTTCAGCACTCTTAGGTCTAAAGAGACATATAATTAGGAAAATAAACTGAAATTAATAAAAAGTTACCGTGCATACCTGCGTGCATTGTACGTGTACAGAGCATATCCACAGAAATCTTTTTGTTTTGGTTCAATATTTTCATTTGTGTTCCCTTCTTCGTCCGCCATTTTGAAATTACTTGGTAGTCACGCCTTATTATGATGGCTTGGCTACTAAGGAAAATATGTCGGGTATATTTCTACTTCTAGGCCAAAGTGTTGGTGAAGTGTTGATTGTTTACTATTAAAATTGATGTGATAAAATGGCAAAAAGTAAATACGAATATGTGAGAAAATTCGAACAGAATGATCAGTGTCTTATGAACTGTTGGATCGTTATTCGAATCGATGGCAGAAATTTTCACAGGTACACGTGCGATGTTCTTAATTACCAAATCATCACTTGAAGGTTTTTCTCTATTTTGTTTTCTAATTTTCTTTTTTTGAAATCAGATTTTCTGATGGCCACTGTTTTGAGAAACCAAACGATCAAAGAGCATTGCAGCTTATGAATAAATGTGCTGAGACTGTGATGAGGGAATTCACTGACATTGTGATTTCATATGGACAGAGCCTACTTATACAACAAACATTGAACTTGAAAATGTCATTCATAAACGTTATGGAGAAAAAGTGCCGATAACACCGATTTATTCTTTCTTCTGTACCCAATATAGAGCTGATCTGTAACTTACGTTTGGTTCTGTCACTTCCATTTCTTGACTAGAGACCGAACTTGCTGTCATACCAGGGCTGGCTGAAGTCTTGTAAACACAGGAACTGGCCCCGGGTCCAGGTGGGCCCTTGGTACCATTGTACCCAGGTGATCCAGGAAGGCCCTGAACACTAGGTGGTCCAGATGGTCCTGCAGGGCCCTGAGTACCATTATTTCCTGGAGCTCCGGCAGGTCCGGCTGGTCCGGCGGGTCCAATGTCACCATCAGTACCATTGAATCCAGGTGGTCCTATGTTGCTCGTGCCGCTATTACTGTTTGTCACCTAAACAATTCAAAAACAACAACGCTGATAATTACGGTAACAACAACAATGATGGATAACAAGGATAACGATGATACTGATATTGACAATGAAAATGACAGTAACCATTGCATTTATCACGAAATGTTTTTATCTTGCAGGTAATGGATACTTCATCGACCTTTCGATGGCTGGAACAAATTTGCTGAATGATAATTATTTTACAGAACAAGGAGATCCGAAAAACGTTTCAACATTGTAATTCGAAACCTTCATGATGTGAATGAATTTTATTCTTACTATCACGTGCTTATTTACCATGTTAGACTGGATTGGGGTTGGTATGATTATCCTGCTCATGTGAATTTTACGGTATTCAATAAAGGTTCACATAGTTAACATTCCACACTATTCGCCTCAAGCGCCTCTTTTTAGTCGACCTTCCAAAATTATATGGGAATGCCTCTATCACATTTCCGAAGTAATGCTGCGACATTAAAATTTAACTCCACCTTACGTCGCAGTTAGCATACGTGTAACCGAGTCAAATCTCTTTGAAGGGCTAAAAGTGTAACTATGAGTGAAGACGCTTAATGATGCAATCGCTTTTCCGCGATCATCTATTGCCATAATTTGCATTATTGTGGAATATTCCTCGCCGTTCCCAGGTATATTTTGTTTTTAACAAAGAGTCCAGGCCACAATCGTTCTTTAATACAATCTCAAGCCTTCATTCTTCTCACTGCGAGCCGTCAGTATTTATATCGTTATTTATCATATGGCTGTGTCTTACAAGGACTGGGAACTACCGAATTCACGAATTTGATTGGATGAAATCAATATTGAAAGCAGTCTAGATTTTCCCATCTAGACCGGCATCTGGACCGGTCTAGAAGAAAAAGTTACAAACAATATAATGTTACGTTGCTCTCTAGACACAGCCATATAATAAACATCTTATTAACCAAGCTAGGTCGATCTGTATGGGAGAATCTTGACCTCGGTCGCTGGTACAGACCTCACTGCGCTCGGTCTGTACTGGCGACCTCGGTCAAGATTCTCCAATACAGACCTCCCACTCGGTTAATAAGAACTAAATATCAAGCAGACAAGAGCTGAGTATAAGGAAAATAACAGGGGGATTATAAGTTGATCCAGTACCAAATTCTTCAACTAACATGATAAGAATTGTATGGCAGACAGTAAGGAGAATTACTAATGAGATCTTGGGAGTTAAAGGATTAACATGTAAGAATGACTAGCATCTAATTTATCTGTTTGTTCTCATCTGTCACTGAAACCTAAAGGTTGAATACAAGAAATGACCACCCACTCAAAAAGCTCTTGATTAACTGCTAATAAAACAAATTCTCCTTGTCATTATCAAAGGAAATTTATGGAGAACAGTATGGGGAATATACACACTGATGTTAGAGAGTAAAGGGTTAACAGATAACTTTTATTTGAAGCAAAACGAAGTAAAGGAGTCAAGCAGTCATTCTCTAAAATCTAATTCCTTTAGTAATGTTCAGGGTTCTGTCAGGAACCAGCTACTTCGATTTCTGAGCAACCTACTTTTCATGAAAAAATTTGTGAGTAAGTTGTAAAGAGTAATGAAAATAATTTGGTGTCAACTGTCTACTTCACTATGCGAGCCATCTACTCCCTAAATTAATGAGAACCCTGGATGTTGATCCGATGAAGGAGATATTGATTGAAATTACTGTCTCTGATTTCCAGTTATCAATTTTAACTTGATGGCTGACTTAGTGTAATGACTCGTGTATATTTGCAAAACCTTTTGGCTTGATGGTTTAATTCTGGGCAGACAAAGAAAAAAACCCTCTTGAATAAGTGATAGAGCCTCAAAATTGTTAGTTAACAATATTTAATAGTTCAAACTTACAGTTCAAAATAGTAGTAATTTAATACTTTCAATGTGTTTTGTTTACTGCAGGTCACATTAACAATCTCTACAACACATGCTTTTGGTGTCTGGTTAAGCAGTCAGGTCTTACAGCAGAGAAAGCTGAGGAGAGACTAAATGTAAGTGAAACTGGTGTGTACTACTTTTTTAAGGCATTTCTGTAATGTGAAGATTGTCGTACACTCATCATGCCACATGTATATTCTTCTTTTTAATGTGTCAAAATTTTATTCCAGTTGATAAATAGCAAGGTTAGGAATATTTGGTGGAGCAGCTTAGATTGAACACAGCCCTCCTACTTTTGAAAATAACAAAATGCCTAATAAATTCCTTTTTGTAACTTTCTGTTAACTCCAATTAATTTTTTTTTCCTTTTTTAAGATTTCTCTTCCTAGAAAATTTCCAAAAACCTCCTATGGGCTAGAGGCATGTGTGTGTGTGTGTGTGTGTTTTTTTTAACTCAGTATGTTTGATAAACAAAAATGCAATTGTCAGCAAATTTCCCTTGGTGCAAACCAATACAAGCTTGTTACAGACAAACTTTTCCTCCCTTTAAGACACCAGCTCAACAAGCTAATGTGTCTATAATGAAGAGAGACTCAGTCCTGCCGGAGTTTAACCATACTCCATACCACCTTGCTCTATCTACTCTTTCCCCATATCTTGAGAAGGGTGATTTCTAACAGTCCTGTTTTCTCTCTCCTTTAATTAGGGAACTGTTTCCAGTGACAAAAATGAGCTTCTCTTCTCTGAATTCAACATGAATTATAACAACCTTCCTCAAATATACAGAAAAGGATCAGTTCTGGTCTGGGAGAGGGTAATGCCATTTTTCTGAGTTTACATATCAATCTTGAATTTAACCCTTTACAAGCTAACATCACTATGCATATTCTCCATACTGTTCTCTATACATTTCCTAAGGTGCTAACAAGGAGAATTTAACAATCAAGAGTTTCTTTAGTCTGTGATAATTTTCTTTATTCATGTGACCTTAATGTGTGATTCAGGGGTGATATTGCAAAGAGAAATTGGATGCTAGTCATTCTTAGTCAAAGGTCAAAGGGTTAAACCTTACAAGTGACCAGCATGTAATTTCTCTTCACAGTAATACTCCCAAATTAATCATTAAGGTAATGAGAATAAAGGAAATGATCGCCAACATAAGAAGCTTTGATTGTTAAATGAATTCTCCTTGTCAGTACCAAAGAAAATGTAGAGAGAAGAGTAAAGAGAATGTGAATACTGAGTTTAGGGTGTAAAGAGTCAATCCATTGTTTTATATTTTTATATTGTGTCTCATGTTTATCTCCTATTAGGTTTGTGACATCAATGACACAGCTCGAGAAGAAAATGTTAGAAAACCAAAGAGACAGATTGTTATTGACCATACCGACATTATAGGCGATACATTTTGGAATGAACATCCTGAAATCCTGGACAGTTAACCTCTTTGGTTTTGTGACTATCTCACTGGAAGGACATATTTATAATGCTGCAACAACTCAATTCCAGATGTATTGATTATCCTAACACACTGAAATATCCATTTAATATATTATTTTATTAAATTTGAGGACAGTATTGCTTAAAAAAATTTTGCCAAGAAACTGTATGCAAGAAGAGATACAGTTGGGTAAAAACCCTTTACATGGCTCTGTTCCATTACAGGGTTCATACACTTTTTCAGGCCAAAGATTCAAGGACTTTTCAAGGACTTTCCAGCACCCTACTTAGAAATTTCAAGGACTTTTTGTAATGACAATTTTACCTCAAAACCAAAAATGTTTCTGTTAACGTCTATGTTTTGGGTTTACCGATGGTGCATATCAAAAGCAGATATTTTTCGATGTTGTTCAATAAAGAAATCAAGGACTTTCAAGGACCCAAAACGAAATTCAAGTACTTTCAAGGCCTTGAAATCGGCCTGCTGAAATTCAAGGGTTTTCAAGGGTTTTCAAGACGCGTACAAACCCTGCCATTAGGTGAATGGACCTCTATGATTCATTTTGTTTTTCTGCTATTAAATATCTGCTATGAGAATGACTGATAGAGGCCTCACCTTAAATTGCGGGTTTGGCTCTTAACCTCATTGCATCAAATGTTACTGCAGTAAAACTTTTTTGATGGAACCAACAAGCAACATGATGTTGAATTCACTCTCATTAGGATTTAAAGTCTTGAAATGCTCAAGGCTCTAAAAGTGAATGCATCGGGGCAAGTTTTTCATTTGTAGACTGCAATTATAACTTAACCTAATATTGAAAAGCAAGTGAAAATACTGTTTGAAAAATGCTTTTCAAGTGCCTTTCATGTTGATGTGAAAAAACTGAGAACTTCATCTGAAGACTGTACCTAGATTGTGCTATCACAATTACCTGCAGATATGCATCCTGCTATTTTGTAACAGAAAATTAAATCTTTATTATTTTTATAAACAAACACCAATTTTACTTCCACCATCAAACATTATAATATACACTCTGTGGGAAAACTAATAACAACAATAATAACCCACAGAAATTCCTATCAATAGTTGGCCAACAGTTGGTTGTTTGTCCACTGACACTTTACCATCAAGTTGGTGTGTTGGTAGCGTTTTGTCCAGCTGACATCTTACTAACAATTGGTCAACAAGTGGTCAAGGGGACCTCTGCTTCAAAGTTGCCAAAATGTAGAGGGGTTGCAAACAGGATGACGCATAGTGGAGATGCCACAAAATATTCATTAGCGAAAACTGTAAAGATACAATTTGACTTACACTCTTCAGTGCATCAAAGAATTAGATCATTTACCTCTTGAAGACTACAGCCTGAATAGTTGAAAGCTTATACTTTGAATTTTTAGCCAGGTAACTACATTTAATTTAATAACAAATTAAGGAAATTGGAGACTTCAGTTTAGAACCAAAAAAAAATAATTTAACTTTGTTTCTGTGGTTTCATGATTTCTTTCTGTTTTCTAGAATTTTTGCTGAAAATGCTTGTAAGATTACTACTTTGACTACTGCTTTATGCAGTGTGTGCAAAATTTCCTATGGTCAGGTTACTTATCTTTAACAGATAATTTTCAGAATGGAGGTACTGTAGGGTTAAAGCACTAGTCATGGGTAACATGGGTAACATGACTTAATTTTATCATCATCATAGAAATAATAAGGCAATGTCTAGGCTGGAACCATCTCTGCTTTTCTTTCATCCTTCTTTTCCTTCTGGGGTCTTTTCTCAACTGTTAGGAAAAAATAGAAGTATCTTTTTGAGATGGCCAACAACCTTCACCCAAAATAAATTTCACAACAGTGTGTGATTCCAGGCAAAAAATATCCATACCCACCCTGAGAGGGTAATTGGAAATTCCAAGTGAAAGCAAGTCTCAGAATATTGAAACAAATCTTTAAAAAGGATAGTATGATATGAAGCTTCGTTGAAAGGAGTTTCAACAGTGAAAATGAACAAAACCCTTTATGGGATGGGTATGGATAATTTTTGACACAACACAAAAAAGATAAAAGAGTCT